AGCTAGTGCAAAAGTACTAATATGTCTTTAAATGTGAAAAATATTGCCAGTTTGTATTGGTAGAACTCCGGCATCAACTTGTCTTTTTTCTTGGCCAAGTTGCCAGCCCAGAGTCTTGTCACCAACTCTTGTCTCTAGTGATCTCCCTGCCCAGCTTCCTGGGTTCACATCTACCTGGCTGTCTGTGCTTCCTGAACCCATGCCCGACTCCAGCAAATGGAGTTGAGCTGTTGAGGGTGAACACATTACACTCAAATGAAAAATCATTTATCCATGTTGAAAGAATTAGTGAGTTTTCACTGAGAAAGAAAAGAACTCTGATTACATCATGTGCTTGTTAACATCATCACATTAGCCAAACTCCTTCTAGAAGACAGTGTCTCCTAAAAGCCCCTTGCAACCATGCAGCAATTGAGATGCAAGGATGATCTCACTATGGTTGTTTGCACACTGACAGGCTCCCAGGGGAAAGTCACCAACTGTGGACGGCCATGGCAGGAAAAAGAGTCTTGGAGGTTTAGTAGGGCCTGCTGAGGGTGGTGGGTGATGAAATTGTTCTGGAAATTGAAGTATGCCTCCCTGGGGGCTGATTAGACCAGAAGATCAGAGGCAGCACTTTCAGGATGACAAACAGCAAAGGCAGAGACATCCTGTGTCAAGAAGTCCCTAACATGTGCCCTGTCAAGCTACAGGGCACACTGGTTGTCCCCAGCCCGTTGAAACGGTTATGCTTTTGGTGATCAACAGCTGAGGTATCCCTTTGATCACCATGAGGGCAGAAGCATTCGGAGTGCCTACACACCATCGCCCCTCAGATCTGGCGCTGCCCACCTCACCCTAAGCCTATGTCTGTACCCGAATCCTGATATCTAACCTGGAGCTCTCATCCTTTGCCCTAACCTGAACACTAATGCCAAAGCTGAAACCCTCACCAGATGCCTGAAACCTGAACCCTGACTCAACTCCCTAATCCTGTCCCTTGTCTTGAACCCCTCTCCTAAGCCTAATTCACCGAAGTCCTAATGTACCTACAGCTACAGCCCTCTGTGTCACATCTGTCCCCAACTCCACAGCAGAAGCAGAGCAACAGTTTGAGGGGAATGTCATCCCTGGCATGAGGTGCCCCCAGGCTCTGATGGCACTCCAGGTTGTTTGGTGGGGTGACAAGGGGACGGAAGCCTCACACACCCTAATCCATGCACAGGGCCTCCACCTGCACTCCTTCTCTCCAGCATCCCTGGAGGTGGGATGAAGGGCAAACTTCCATCTCCCTGGAGCTGATGCCCTGAGAGAAGCACATAGGTGTTTCATCAATCATTGCAACATGGGGATTAAACGGGGCCAAGGGACTCTGCCCAGGACAGCCTGAGACTAAATAGCACTGGCATCCATGCAGTGCAGTGACTGATCCTGTAAAGTGTCCCGGGCATATCAGAAGTCTCACTGTGACAGAGATCTGGAGGGAGGATGTTGCTGTTCAGGCCTCAGCTCCAGGGAGTTCTTCTCCCTTGACCTGGGAGAACAGTGGCCGCTGGCTTGGGAACAGAGGACCAGGTGAAGGAGGAAAGATCTTGATCTCTGTGTAGCAGGAAAGGAGAGACAGCTGGAGATCATGCCATAGGAGCGCTGAATGAAGAGTGCTGGGGATGCTGGGGACTTGTGGTGCTGGAGGAAGGCTCCTTCTAAGTTGCAGATCTGCAGCTACAAGGCAGGGACAGTGTTCTGGCAAGAGGCGAAGAAGCAAGCAGGGCTGGGGCAGGCTGCAAGAAGGCAGACAGACTCTGCAAACTTGTAAATAGAAAATCACTGCTGAAGTCCGGGGTTGAACCAGAGACCTTTAGATCTTCAGTCTAACGCTCTCCCAGCTGAGCTACTTGAGCCATGCCTTGCTGCAGCAGCCCTTGTCCCAGCGACATGCGTGCCAGGCCACAAGCTGACACACACAAGGAGTGGTCCTCAGAGAGGTTCCCAGGGAAAAGCTGTGCCAAGAGATGTGGGGACCTTGTACAAACATGACAGTGCTGAAGGTAAGTGGGCAGGCCTAGTATGTGCAATTACTGCAAAGGCTTAGGGTGGAAGAAGCATGGGACTGGTGGAAGACCTTATCTCCTTCCCCATGGAAGGCCTCTCCCTACCCCTTTTTCCCCAGCTCAACTTCACTCCTTTGTTCCCAACACTTCTACATCTGAGCCATGCAGGGGGATGGGGAATGGGGGTTGTGGTCAGTCCGTAACAGTTCCTCTCTTCTCCTCCTTCCCTTTAACACTTTTCCCATAGAGTCCCTCTTATGGGCTACAGTCCTTTGAGACAAACCTACTCATGGTCCTCCACGGTTTTCTCCATGGGCTACAGGGAAAAGCCTGCTCTGCTGTGGTATTATCCATGGGCTGCAGAAGACTATCATCTGCTCTGTAACCTGAAGCACCTCCTCTCCCTCTTTCTTCACCAACCTTGGTGTTTGCAAGGTGATTTCTCACATTACCTTTTCCCCCCACTCCTCTCCCACTTTGGCAGTTGTATCCTTTCATAAGTACACTTCCACAGACGTTCCACCATCCTCATTGACGGGATCAGTTCTGGCCAGCGGTGGGTCTGTTTGGAGCCGGCTGGAACCAGCTTTCTCTGACATAAAGGCAGCCCCTGGTCTCTTCTCACAGATGGTGCATCTTCAGCCCCCCGCTACCAAAACCTGGACATGAACACTAATACACAGTGCAAATCTTTGCAAGTACAACTTCATTGGGAGGAAGAGAAACAGAAAAGGCCTTGATGCTGTGCAAACACAGCTCAGAGATAACTACAACATTGGTGGGTTGTCAACACTGTTGCGGTCACAAATCCCAAACACAACACCGTGTGAGCTTTGGTGAAGAAAATTAACTTCATCCCATCCAAAATCAGAACAGTGTACCTGAAAACAATTTCCAGGATGCACTGCTTTATCACCTTCCCAGAGAGAGAGGTGAGGCTGACTGTCTTGTAGTTCCCTGGGTCCTCCTTCTTCCCCTTCTTGAAGACAGGAATGACATTTGACTTCCTCCAGTCACAGAATCACAGAATCACAGAATCACAGAATCACAGAATGTTTGGGGTTGGAAGGGACCTCTGTGGGTCATCTAGTCCACAGTCTTTGGGCACATCCCCCAGTTTTGACGACTGGTAAAAGACTGTTGAGAGTGGCCTCACAATGACATCTGCCAGCTCCTCCAGCACTCGTGGCTGCATCTCATCAGGGCCCGGGAACTTATGCATGTCCAGTTGACTTAAGTCTCCCCTAATCTGATCCTCTTCCCCAGGCAGGGGTAGGGCTGCCTGTCTCCTGACTTTCCCCACTGGTCTCTGGGACCTGGGATTCCTGAAGGCCTGTCTTGCTAGTAGAGGACGGTGTGAAGAAGGTATTCAATACCATGGCCTTTCCCATGTCCTGTGTGATCCCCAGCATGGGGCAAGGTCCTTCTGATGTCAAAAGGGTGCTGTACGGTTCAGGGCTGCACACAGCTCCAGATCACCACCAGGACATTTCTGAGGGGACTTTTGAAGACGGACAGCAAGGGAGAATTTACCTGAAAGGGACACAGTCTGTGCTTTGAGATTTCTTCTCTTGGTTAGCTGAGTGGCCAGTGGGAGACGGGAGTTTATCCTTCCATTCTGGAGCAGGCAGTGAAACTGCAGTTCTCCTTAGGACTTGTGTGAGCTACTGCTTAGCCTCTGCAGACAGACAGAGCAGCCCCTGGGAAGTGCTGTGCTTCAGGAGGTGTCCGCAGGGCAGAGCTGAGCACAGAGAGGCTGGGATGGGTTCTGTGAGCACAGGCAAGAAGGAGAAGTGGGAACAGAGATGCAGTTCCTGGCAGGGACAGCTCCATGCACCAGAGACATTAGCAGGGAGGGAGAGGGAGCTGCTAGCAGAAAAGCAGTGGGAAGAGGGATTCAAGCACCTCCTTGCCATCCCCTGCAGTGCAGAAGCCTACCTCAGAGCAACCCTTTGGTCTCCTCTCCCACCCAGCACAACCCCTGCTCTGAAGGCCATGGGGACTTAGTCCCCATCTCAGCAGCCTGACCCCTCAAGAGAAGATACTACCAGATATCCGACTGTCTGGTCCTGTGCTGTCTCCATCGGCAGCAGCACTGTGGCACTTCTCTCTTTCCCCTCCTCTCTGTGCTCCCATTGCTTTATCACTGGACTTGCTGGGATGGTGGGTGGGATTCAGATGCAGTTCAGAGGCTAACCCTGTGTGTCTTGCCATGCAGTTGTGTCTATGGGAGTGAAATGTCCAAAAGCCCTCCTAATTCCCGGCTCCAGGTGATACAAATGTCCCTCGAGCACACCCACACTTTTGGACATTTGACTCTATCCCTGCAGGGTCCTCTTGGCCTGCAGGCTGCCCTCCAGAAGAGCACAGGTCTGCTATGGCATCTCTGTGTCATCCAGGACCCCATGGAGAAGATACCTCATGCTAAGGCCATGGAAATGCTGCTGGGTAGTTGCATGCAGACAGGCGCAGCGAGCCCTCTGTGTCCCTGGTTGGGAGTGGAGAGCTGAGATCATCCTCAGGAATAATCACGCAGGGTGTGTAGTTTGGAGATCTGCACTTGTATAATCACAGAAGAGATTCTTAAGATCGCTGGGTCCAACCGTTAACCATGCACTACCAAGTCCGCCATTAAACTGTGCCCCTAAGCACCACATCTACACATAAGAATAGATATAAAAAATAAGTAGATATGAAGAAATATTTGTAAGACATAATTTCTTTGTGATGATGGGGATGAGGCACTGGAACAGACTGCCCAGAGAAGCTCTGGATGTCCCATCTATGGAAATGTTTAAAGCCAGGTTGGATGGGGCTCTGAGCAACCTGGTCGAGTGGAAGGAGTCCCTGCCTAAGGTGGAGGGGGTTTGGAGTGGGATAACTGTCCAATCCAAACCATTCTATTATTCTAGCATGATTACAAATGACAGAACAGCCAAAGCACACCACTTGTCTGAGATAAATTGGAGGTCACTGCTTCTGAACCACCACAAGTAAGATGAGTTTCTTCAATGTGCCTTTGAGCTCCTTGTTCCTCAGGCTGTAGATCAGGGGGTTCACTGCTGGAGACACTACTGAGTACAGAATAGTAACCACCAGATCCAGAGCTGGGGAGGAGATGGAGGGGGGCTTCAGGTAGCCCAGCATTAGAGTATTGATAAACAAGAAGACCACGGCCATGTGGGGGAGGCACGTGGAAAATGCTTTGTGCCACCCCTGCTCCGAGGGCATCCTCACCACAACCCTGAAGATCTGCACATAGGACAGCACGATGAAAACAAAACAAGCAAAGATTAAAAATGCGGTAACCACAATTAGCCCGATTTCCCTGAGGTCGGATTCTGCACAGGAGAGTTTGAGCAGCAGGGGAATTTCACAGAAGAACTGGTCTATAGCATTACCATGGCAGAGTGGTATTGAAAAGGTATCAACAGTGTGCAGCACAGCACTGAGAAAACTACTGGCCCAGGCAGCTGCTGCCATGTGGACACAAGCTTTGCTACTCATCAGGGTCCCATAGTGCAGGGGTTTGCAGATGGCAACATAGCGGTCGTAGGCCATGATGGTGAGAAGGGAATATTCTGCTCCAATCAGGAAGACAAGCAGAAAGACTTGTACAGCACATCCCCTATAGGAGATGGCCCTGGTGTCCCACAGCAAGTTGGCCATGGCTTTGGGGAGAGTGGTGGAGACAGAGCCCAGGTCAAGGAAGGAGAGGTGAAAGAGGAAGAAGTACATGGGAGTATGGAGGTGGTGGTCGCAGGCTATGGCAGTGATGATGAGGACATTGCCCAGTAGAGCAGCCAGGTAGATGCCCAGGAAGAGCTAGAAGTGCAAGAGCTGCAGCCCCCAAGTGTCTGCAAATGCCAGGAGGAGGAACTGGATGCTGGAGCTGCTGTTGGACATTTTCTCCCTATGCACCTGGTGGTCTGTAAGCACAAGGAAAAGACAATGACTAGTGAGCACAGACTTCTCTGCATAAAACCGAACACTTTTCTCACACATTCACCCCCTTGCCACACACTCACCCTTTCTCCTGCTTGGCAGGAACTTCATGCAGCTCTGCGGCTGGAGTTCTGGTTTGTGCTGGCTGAGTGTACTGTGAGGAGAAGGTCCTCTGCCTGGATGCTCCTGAGGAGCTGGTCGTGCTTTAATTCAGGTTCTACCTGGGAGCAGGTGGGGTGCAGAAGCCAGAACTGAGAATCAGAAGTTCTTATACGATATCCCCTTAAACACTGAAGGGTTTGTCAGCAACCACATCCTCAATACTAAAGGAAGTTGGTTGTAGAAAGGGGTTTATTTAGGCTTTTGTTTGTTGTTTGTTTTGGACGTCCCTTTCCGACCTTCTCCTTTCTTCCCTGGGGAGTCTTCTCTGCAGTCAGAAATCCTGAGCATCTCTGCTGCACTCAGGCTGAGCAACTGTGAGTCCTGAGAGGCAAAAGGGTTCGCTGTGGCTTTGTACAGTGGGAGATGAGCTGGTCTGTCCACATGCCTTGTTCCCAGCTGCCTTGTGCTTGCTCCTTCTTGAGATGGAGGGGGATTCCTCTCCTGTGTTACCCTGAGAAGAAATCAGACCCCGCTGAGAGCAGACGGATCCACTGCAAAGTGTCTCACCCAGCCGCCAAGTACTTGAACAGGGTCTCAGCACCCCACTGCTTGCCAAGGACACAGAGATCATTTCCCCGTGTTGCCAGCCCAGCAGCATTTACCTGCCCCTGGTATCTCTGCACTTCTCCATCAGGCAACCCACACATGCTGCGGGAGAGTTTTGCAGTCTGGAGGACAGCACGCAGCTCAGAAGGACAGCCCAAGGAGCTAGTCAAGTGCCCTAACGATCGCATCTCATGAGAGGAGAGTCGGCTGATTCCCGACCCTCACTGATCCCATGGCCCAGAGCCCCACAGCTTAGAGGGAAGTTGGCACACCTCATTCCCATGGACATGGGGGCATATATGTGCTTCAGAGTTCAGACAGGAACAGCAGAGAATACCTCATGAGCCTGGAAAGGTGATGCTGGTGATCTGTAAGTCATAGGGGATTGATCTGATGCTCCCAGACTCCATCTCAGTGAAACAGATCTGCATTCTCAGGGCCTTCTCCAAACCAGTGAGAGCTCGTCCCATCTCTCACTCATCACCCAGCCAACCAAAAACAGAAAACTGAAAGCATAGGCTCCTTCCATTGCAGGTAGAGCCTCCTTTTTTTTTTTTTTACCTTGCAAGATTCCCCTCCAGAGATGTCTAGGTTGTGAGCTTGAGCTGTGAGCAGCCCTGACCCATGCAGCACCCTCTTCATAGGAGGAGGAACCCTTCCATGCAATGGATCACTCCTTCCACCCAAAGCTTCTCCCTACAGCACCTTGGGGATCTCCCTGGGCAGGCTGAGTGCTGATCCTGACAAGCGGCAGAGTCCTTGCCCCAGCACAAAGCCTCCTGGGGTACAGGGACTCCGGTCTGAAGGACAGCCCAGTGCACTCCTTGAGTGTACACCCAGCTCTACACCCCTACAGCTGCCCCTGAGAGAAGAGACACATGATGGACTCTTGCTCTGATGGTGTGGCAGTGGATCACTGACCTGGGGCAGGTTCTCCTCCACACTGGAGATAATATAGGAGTCCTCCTGACAGATCCCAAAAGCTGTAGGATGTGGCAGCTTAAGTAGATCCTTCTAGGAACTCTGTCTGCATTGCCCTCAGCCAGAGACTTACCATGTAAAGAGCTGTGCAAGTTTGTCCCACAATGAGCTCTAAGTTGTCCTTCCCCTTCAGAAAATTGTAAAACATCTTGCGCTCTCATCTGCTCGTGATGCCTGCAGGCAGTGCCCCCTAAAGCTGCTGTGCTTTGCAGAGAAGCTGCTTCTGGGCAGATCTACCTCTCTGCAGCACTGCTGGGTTGCCAGGAGATCCCTCTGTCTCAGGAGCCTGGCCCAGCTCAGGAGCAGAGGACCAGCCCAAGGGAGCCCTTGAGGTGTCCCTGAGGCTCCCAGGGAGCCTACTCTGATAGAGACTGAGGTAATCAATGATGTTCCCCCTCTCAGCTCTGCAGAGACACTTCTTTCCAGAAGTGTCATCTCTCCTCTCAGAGACAGATACAAGTATGACAATACCTGCTTCCTGTCCCACCATTAGACAGGACACCCAGACAGGGACAGAGAGGGATCTTCTTTAGTCATGCTGAGGAAAGGCATTAAGCTTAGTTGATCAAAGCATGTCATTCTGCAGTCCTGACACTTGAATGTGGTGAATGACTTCACGGACCCCAATCTTGTGCTCGATCAGAAACATTTTATTGCTCAAGTGAATACCTTATATACTAATACAATTGTTGCTAGAGCCAGTCAGCTTTGGATTCGTGGCTTTGCGAATGCCAGTTCACAGTTGCTGTTTTCCAGGATCTTTTTCAGCTGGATGTGTGAAAACAGCTTATCTCATGAGAACGGAGAAGGGAGGCACAGGATGCGCTGATCCTTCAGAGTCACGACACAGTGCTGTTCTGTCTCAAGTTGTACGGTTTCCCACATTGGACCTCCATAATGTGCAGGGGGGACAGTCTGCATCACCATGGACTTCACCACGGGCTGCAGGGGAATTTCTGCCCTGGCACCTGCAGCACCTTCCCCCTCCTTCTTCGATAACTTTGGTGTTGGCATAGTCATTTCTCACACATATTCTTACTCCTCTCATCTTCTGTTGCACAGAATAGAATAGAATAGAATAGAATAGAATAGAATAGAATAGAATAGATCAGTTGGAAGGAACCTGCAATGGTCATCTAGTCCAACTGCCAGACCAATTGAGGACTGACAAACTTCAAGCACGTTATTAAGGACATTTTCCAAATGCCTCTTAAAGACTGACAGGCATGGGGCATCAACCACCTCTCTAAGAAACCTGTGCCAGTGTTTGACCCCCCTCTAGGTAAAGAAATGCTTCCTAATGTCCAACCTGAACCTCCCGTGATGCAGCTTTGATCCATTCCAGTGTCCCATTGCTGGTTCCCAGGAGAAGAGATCAGCACCTTACTCTCCACGACCTCTACTTAGTGAGGTGGAGAGAGCAAGGAGGTCACTACTCGGCCTTCTTATCTCCAAGCTAGACAAACCCATTGTGCTTAGGCGCTCCTCAGAGGACATTCCTCCCAGCCCTCTGCCAAGCTTTACTGCCTTCTTCTGGACACATTCAAGGACGTTCAAAACCTTTTTAAATTGCAGGGCCCAGATCTGCACACAGTACCCAGTGGGAAAATTACTTCTTTTGACCAGCTGGCTATGCTGTCTTTGGTGCACCCCAAGATGTGGGTGGCCCTCATGGCTGTCAGGGCACACTGCTGGCTCCTCTTCAGCCTGCTTCCAGCCAACACCCCCAGATCCCTTTCTGCAGGGCTGCACCTGCAGCCACTCCTCTCCCAGATGATACTAGTGCCAAGCATTACTCCATACCAATTGCAGAATGTGGCATGCTGATTTTTTAAATTTCATCCTGTTCATGATTGCCCAATGCTTCAACCTGTCTAAATCCCTCTTTAAGGCCTCTTGTGCCTCGAGAGAGTCAACAGCACCTCCCAGACTGGCATCATCTACAAACTTGCTAATGGTGCTAATGGTTCAACTCCTGCAGATCATTGATCACAAAATGGAACAGCACTGGCCCTCAAACTGAACGCTGAGAAACACCACTGGTCTGTGGTTGCCAGAAAGGTGTAGCCCCATTCGCTACAACCCTTTGAGCTCTGCCCTTAAGCCAGTTCTAAACCCAGTGTACCCTGAACCTGCCCATCCCACAGCTGGACCACTTGTCTAGGAGGATACTGGGAAGGACAGTATCACAGGCTCTACTAAAATCCAGAAAAACTGCATCTACCACCTTCCCTTCATCCACTAGGCGGGTGATCTTGTCATAGAAGGATATCAAATTAGTTAGACAGGACATTCCCCTTGTGAACTCCTGTTGACTGCCTCATTGTTCTTTAAATGCTTTCAATAGTACGCAAAATGAACTTCTCCATAGTATTTCTAGGATCTGAAGTTGGAATAACAGGTCTGTAGTTCTCTGGGTCTTTCTGCTTGCCTGTCTTATAAACTGGAATAATGTTGGCTCACTTCCAGTCAGATGGGACCTTCCCAAGCTCCCAAGACCTTTGGTACATGATGGAGAGAGGTCTTGCCATAACATCCACTAGTTCCTTCAGTACACAGGGATGAACCCCATCAGGGTCCATGGACTTGTGAACATTCACCTGTTTCTGTCTTCACAAATAGCAAGTCTGGGAGGGCATCTTGCCTAGTTGGCTTACTGAGTACCTGTGAGAGGAAGTTGTTTCTGACAAACATCAAGAATTTCCAAGACCTGCTTGTCACAGCAGAATGACATTCCCATTTGAAGTCTGGGAAGTAGAAAAGTCTCCTTGCTGGCTATCAATACAGAAATTTCCCTTAATTGCTTATAGAATAACTCATCAGTGCCTACATCCCTGCTGGGCGATCGATAGTAGACACCCACTGCAACATTTTCCTTGTTTTCCATCCGCCAAATCTTCACCCTGAGGCTCTCAGCCACATCTTTGCTAACTATAAGGGCTGTACAATCAAAGCTCTCCCTTATGTAGAGCATGATAATTCCACCTTGCCTGCCCTGCTGTCACTTCTGAACAGCTTGTAGCCCTCCAGGCCTTAATCAGACAAGGAAGGGAAGAGACCGGCATGGCTGAGTCGAGACATGCTGGTCAAACTAAAGAGCAAGAGGGAGCTGCACAGGCAGTGGAAGCAGGGACAGGTATCCTGGGAAGAGTATAGGGACGCTGACCGGTTGTGTAAGGAGGGAGTCAGGA